GAATCTGGTATCCCGCACAAGAATCTGGTATCCCGCGGATATCGGGATACCGCTAATTTCGACCCCTGTTGCTACCAAGTGGTTGTTATGATGCCAACTCTAACGACTATACTGATTTCATTTCAGGAACCTGAATTTGAATCTAACAACTTAGTTCAGGCTTACCGGCATTGACTTGTTTCTTAAATTCTGCAACTGTAAGATCAGGGTTGATATTATGAAACACAATGTGTTTGATATTTCGGTATTGGAATGAGCGGATGAGACGAACGGTTACAGTGATCTTATCAATGTCACTACTGCTACCGATGTTACTTGACATTTCACAGTTTATTCCAACCTCTCCCATTTCTGTAAAATAATAATAATAGACATACAGCATGTATATCTGGGTAGGAATTGTGAAGCCCTCGTGACTTGGATTACAATGAACGTCGCATATTATGACCGGCCTGCACGTCTCCATTGCCATTGACGTAAAACTACTACTACAGGGCTGCCAACATTGGGTGATAGGCGAGAGTGAGATGCAAGGGAGCGAAGCGACCGTGTGGGGGGTGGGTGTGGAAGGGGGGTTCCTGGTACTGGGCATTCTACGGTAGAGAGCTTTTGCATTTTATAACTTCAATTTGTGCAATTTGGTGCATACTAAAGTGACCGTTTTCAGATATTGTAAGATTTTTTTTGCTGTGCGTGAGATATTTCAGCGTTTTATTCGTGAAGAGATATTCATGCGTGAGATATCTCAACATTTTTTTGCTGTGCATGAGATATTGTAAGATCAGATTGAGAGCGTGAGATTTGGTCAAAATGCGTGAGTCTCACGGTCAATGCGTGAGAATTGGCAGCCCTGCTACTATAAGCCAGTTCGTAGTTAGCCAAGGGGTTGTGTGACGTCACAGGTCACCGGGTCGATCATTTGTGACAAAAATCGATGAAATCTCGAGTGCAGCGTGCGCTCTCGGTTCAGTACGTATATGTACATGTATTCTGTGTACATGTATACGCACGCATGTGTACGTGCACACGCACGCACGTGTAGTAGATACAATAATGTAACCCAACAAGAGTAGGGTTACATTGTTCTACCCTACTCTATCTACTCTACATTGTTCTACCTGCCTAACCCTACTCTAGTTGGGTTACATTATTGTATCTAGCACGTGTACGTGCGCACGCACGCACGCGCGCACGTGTACGTGCATACGCACGCACGCGCGCACATGTACGTGCACATGCGAAGACTGTAGCATTACAACGACACAGATTCATGCGTATGTGTACTGTGCGGTCGAAATATGAAATCTGTTGTCACAAATGACCTGACCCGGAAGAATTCGTCGCAGAGTTCGCGCATGCCCAGACTGTTACTACGAACTGGCTTTATTGAAATAACTTTGAATCTGATCACTGTACCAGATGTACCAGATCAGATGTACCAGAGGTATTCTGTTTTATTATAAGAAGAACTATAGACGGAAAGAGAAAAATATGAAGATTCGAAGATGAAATATCCAAATAATTGAAATATTGAACAAAATACGATGGGAGCCATACACCGGTAAACTGCATAGACTTTTCGGGGTGCAAATACAGTTATTGCCGTTGGCAGTGTCAACGAGGGTTAGAGGTAGGTGACATAATAAGAATAACAGTTGGATATTTTCGTTTTCAGTTCACTTCTTTACCTCTAACCCGACCAGGCTGTGTGACTAACGTCAATACACCTCGTCGTATCTAACCTTAGCAATACCGTTTCTTGGAGCTACTTTACCTCTTGCTCGCAGCCTCGCAGCTTCTTGGCTCGCAGGTCCCACGGCTTTCATGAGCGCCATCTTTCGGAGGGTTCATTAACCATATACGTCGGGCGAGAATTTATTTTATAATAAATCTATATAATTGACCCGTTAACAACAGTTTTGACAAGTAACAAGTAAATAAACGTATTTTTGACATCAACATGGTTATTTAATAAAGGCTAACATATATGCTGCATCTTTTTATAGGGCATTACCATAAACTTATGATAAAAATAAGTTAACTTATGTAACACAATGTATATTCAACAATTATGTATACTCAACTATACGTGGTATTTTATGTACGCAGTGCGTCAATATACATAGGTTAATTCATCAGATTACGATGGGAAGTCTTATTCTATAAACGACCGTATACTTGGCAAAAAATACCAGTAAATCGAAATAATTAAGGCTTAAAATACAGGAAACACGATGCCACCCTCAGGCATTGTAAGCGACTACGTATGTATTATATATTGATCTTGATCTTTGATCTTGATGAGTAGGCCTACGTCAAGAAACCTCGTCGGCGAATTACGACGAGTGGGAGAGAGCGCTGAAAGACGTTAGTGGCGAGTTTTGACGCCATTAATATACGTACCTACGTATATAGGTGCCAACGTAGACGGGAAAAACAGAAAAATTATCCAGCATTATGTCCATTTCAACTCAAACATTCTTCAGCTATTTTTAATTTGTAAACAAGCTCTACGTGCGTTTATTAGCCACTTTACAACGTGCTCTAATTACGCCAATAAGTAGGCCTCGCCATTTTTTTCTCCGCATCCCGTACATATAGCAGTTTAGAAGTCATTACCGCCAGCCTCTCCCCGGAGCGCGCCGTAGGAATGCAGTCCGGACGTGCCACGCAACCGAATGCGACAAGAATCGCGCGCCGACCCCCTCGAGGGCATCTGCGACCAGTAGCGATTAATTTTAATTTCCACCCGTGTGTTGTAAATGCCCGGGTCGCGCAGCCGCCTGCAGCGGCGCACGTGCACGCGTCGCCAGGCGACCGGTCGCCGTCGTTATTAGTGCTACAGTGCACGCGCCGACGACAGGAAGCGATGCGACGTCGATGGTCGCACAGCGCGCTGTCGACTCCACCCCGCAGCCACTTCCGGTTGTGTTTGCATATCCTGCGTTTGTCGCTGGTTTCGTAGAAGAGGATTGGTGCGTAGATAATTGGTGTGTAGATAATTGGTGCGTAGGTAATTTGTGCGTAGGTAATTGGTGTGTAGATAATTGGTGTGTAGATAATTGGTGTGTAGATAATTGGTGTGTAGATAAGTATATAGTAATAGTAAATAGTTAAGTATTATTGTAATAGTAACAATTAATGTTCTACACTCTAATTGGTGTGTAGAT